AATAATGTGCACCAAATCTGAAAAAAAATCATGTAAAACTTATCTCTGTAGATTCTAACCACTATAGCTTGAAAAATGTGGTTGTTCTAAAAAATATCTCAATTACTTTGAAAAGAGTCAATCTCATTAACCTTTAGAGTCTTGGAGTTTTCAAAGATACTTTTCTTTACAGTTAATGACATAGGGTTAAGGATAAAATATAGCTAAAAAAATTACTTGCATTTAATTATGTTTAAAAAAAAAAAAAAAGAAAAAGAAAATCTTAGGGTTCTGTGTGTCCTACCAGCGTTTTCTTTCCTTTGTCTAAGGAGCCACTACCGTCCCAAGGTTTCTGCACAGCCAAGCAATGCGCTATAAAGTTTGGGATGAGTGATGAGTATGCCTTTCTTTTGGAAAGTAACAGGACACTATAAACTCTGTATAATACTGAGAGAATCATTTTATGGAAGGAACAAATAAAAATGGGAGATCTGGAAATTAATTTCCTTATAACTATATGTGCTTGCATTTCCCCAGGGAAATCTTCGGGAACCTAGAGAACACAGTGCATTGGCGTGGTTTGAAGACTGCTGGCCTAAATCACTCCAAGGAGCCCAGATCAACACAGCCTGAGGTAGCGGAAACCCAGCATTTAGAGGGGAGCTAGGAAGTAAGAATGTTAAAAATGCTGGATAGGCCAGGATAGAAATCAGGAAGTCCTTAAGAAGCAAATGCCTGACTTTGCAGGAAGATGAAAACCTTCTTGACACCCTTGAAGAGAAAGGATGCTTCCCCCAGGGAATGTATATTGATACGTCCTTATGGACCATGGACAAGTGAAATAAACTGAGTGACAACTTGCTGCAGCTGCAATCAATACAGTGTCACCACCACCGTCTTCTCCCAGGTACAGAGGAGTGTCCGCTATAAGAGTGGAGTCTGGGACAACTTGATGCTTGGCGTCCCTGCTTTAGCAATTGAGGGTTAGCCTGTTTAAACACTGCAAATGGAGGGGTGAGGCTGTGATAAGATTGTGTATCCAATGGGTTTACTCTTGGGCCCTTTCACCAATGGTGGGGAAAGAAAAACTGAGAAGCTCTGATGGACCTCCCTCCCACTGCTGGAAAGACAGCCTGGACTGTCTACCCAAGGAAATGTGATCTTCCCCCTGCCCCCCGCCCTCACACCCACTCCAACACACACACACAGATGAGACCCTCCTGGCTGAGATGAGCAAGAAAATTGGAAAGAATTATATTAACCTAAAAATTTGGTGCTTTGAATGACTCCTGAGGGTAAAGAGGTTCAGTTTTCCTTTTTCCTTTACTTTATTTTCTCCAAGGGATCTTTAAAATAAGATAGGAGACTGTACTAATTTTTTTTTTTTGGACATCTTTCTCATCTGGTCATTATGTTTGGATTATCTTTGTGTTGTTATTTAGTCACATTGCAACCTCTAATTGCTGATTGATTGACTGATTTTTCTTGATTTCAGAAGGAAGGGAGAGGGAGAGAGAAATAGAAACATCAATGACAAGAATCATTGATCGGCTGTCTCCTGCACACCCCCTACCAGGGATGGAACCTGCAACCCCCCAGCACGTGCCCAGACCAGAAATCGAACCATGACGTCTTGGTTCATTTGTCAATGCTCAACCATTGAACCATACCGGCCAGGCTAATTACCTATTTTAGACAACAGAGCTGAGCTTTATTCCCCGGAGAGTGGGGAATAAAGTAGAAAAGCAATTTGGGGCTTTTGCTTCAGAGCATCCTTAGAGGAAATTTAATGAAGGTAATATTGTTAGTCATTTCTGAACCTGCTGTTAGTCAAAATTGCCTACTGTGATTCCAAAGAGTCGGCAAAGGAGTAGGCGTTATTTGGTGAAATGGCCTCATAAAGGAGGAAAAGGACGGCTGCGCGGGCGGCTGACCTCTTTCTCCAAGAGGCACAGCCACACTCCGGCCTCACATAGCCTAATGGATAAAGTCAGTGAGATAACAGCACAAAAACGGTGAGGTACTAAGGAGCAATTCTTGGTTCCCACCTCTCCTGTTCCCCTGATGGGATTTCAGCATCACCATCTGTCGGTTTCACTCCCTACCTCTTTGGAGGTAGCAGAGTACCCATCATTAGAGTAAACATCCCCTGCTCCTCCACCTATTCTCCAGGTACGTTACTAGGAGGAAGGATAGACTGACCCTATCCTTCCAGGAACCTCTGAGCACAATCAATGCCAGTGACACATCTGGGGTCAGGTAACATTCCAGGAGGAACCAGGCCAGTGCAGAGTAGTGCTAAATCATAACTTCCCTTTCTGTAAACACTGTGGGGTGGGGAAGTGGGAAGAGCATTGTTCCCCTGTTCAAGAGTCTGTGTGGCTCACTGATGGGAAAAAAAAAAAAAAAAGTATTTTTCAAATTGTATTTTCTAAAGCACCAGCATCCCAGTATAAGTGAATAGATATTTTTAAGAATTAAAAAAAGAGCCAAAACTGGTTTGGCTCAGTGGATAGAGCATTGGCCTGCAGACTGAAAAGTCCCAGATTTGATTCCAGTCAAGGGCATGTACCTTGGTTGAGGGCACATCCCCAGTAAAGGGTGTGCAAGAGGCAGCTGGTTGATGTTTCTCTCTCATCGATGTTTCTAGCTCTCTATCCCTCTCCCTTCCTCTCTATAAAAAATCAATGAAATATATTTTTTTAAATAAAAATAAAAAAAGATCTGTGACTATGTAAGTTTGGAATATACTGCTTACCATTTGTTTATTAGTAAATATTTTATATATATATATATATATATATATATATATATATATATATATTATTTCAGAGAGGAAGGGAGAGGGACAGAGAGATAGAAACATCAATGATGAGAGAGAATCATTGATCAGCTGCCTTCTGCATGCCCCCCACTGGGGATAAAGCCAAAAACCCAGGCATATGCCCTGACCTGGAGTTGAATCATGACCTCCTGGTTCATAGGTCAATACTCAACCACTAAGCTATGCTGGCTGGGCAGTAAATCTTTATTGACTGCTTTCTGTATGCCGGGTACTGTTCTAGTCACTAGATAGATATCCATGAACAAAACACACCAGAATCCCTGTCTATGAAATACTATGCATGTGTGAAGACCTTTTAGAAGAAATTAGATACAAAGTCCAAAGGGCCCAAGTAGGCTTTTGCAACCCAGGGAGCTTTTCCCAGGATTCTGTGAGCTAGAACATCAAAAAGACACCCTACCCTTTGCCCCCGGGTAAAAGAGCTGATGGCTGCTTCCAAACCCAGCTGCCTTCTGTTTACAATCCGACATTACTCTCGGCCCTTTTCATTGAACCTGGTACTTTGAGGCAAGAGAACACAAAAGCGGCATAAACAGCATCAGCGGCCCCTGAGCCCCGGCTCAAACATTCCTCCAGGCCCCCCTCTTCCCCACCACTAACTTCAAGATCCTCCCTCATCACGCCCCCATTCGGCCCTCCTGTTCCCCTGGGTCCCTCTGGGACTTCCTGGTTCCGTTTGGGACACTGACCCCAGCTGGAACCTCCGCCTGCCCCTCCATGTGACTGTCAGCATGTGCTCATCATCTCTAAATGCTGGCCCCAGAACCCCAGCCTGGCCCTTGCTTCCCTTTACCCCAGAACCTCAAGGCAGGATGAGCGGCCTTGGTCTTTCTGGGTCGGGAGGGTGAGGATGGGTGGGGCCAGCAAGGCCTGTGACTGTGCAAAACGAGCCAGTCCAGGGAAAGAGACAAAGCGAAGTCCCGCCTCGGCAGAGGGACTGAGCTTGGAGGAAAGCCGACATGGAGAGGGATGTGTTATTTGTGGAAGGCTTTCATTTGGCGGTGGGAAAAGAATGGCAAATATGCAACACAGTTTTTCTGTGTCTATAAATAACATGTAAATACCTTTCGGAATGAAAACCTTATGGAAGGCTTGTAAAATAGGAAAAGGCAAAGGGAGAGAAATAACATGTACTTAACCCGTGCTATGTGCCAAGCAGTTTCCATATGTTGTTTGCTTAGTTCTCTCACTTTCCTTCAGGGAAAGGGCTGCCCTTGATTTATTTGTTTGTTAAATACGGAACGCTTAGTGAATCCACATGCCATCCTTGCATAGGGACCGTGCTAGTTGTCTCTGTATGGCTCCCGTTTCAGTGTATGGGCTGCCGAAGCAAGCGCAGGGTGGCACGTTGTAGGTGAGGAAAATGCCTAGGCTGAAGAGGCTCATGCGCCAAGGTCTCGTGATGAATGAACCACAGGTTGGCGATAGACCTATTGGCTCCAGAAACCCTCGCCCTTTCTGGAACCAAGCTTGAGTCTGCCTGGGGGCTGGACTGGACTATATGACCTTTCTAGATTCTTCTCTATAGCCAGGACTTGCAGAATCAGCTTGTTTTCTATTGGTGCCTTAAGTCTTTCAGGACAATAAAAATCCAGTGCGGCCCCAACCGGTTTGGTTCAGTGGATAGAGCGTTGGCTTGCGGACTGAAGGGTCCCAGGTTCCATTCCGGTCAAGGGCATGTACTTTGGTTGTGGGCACATCCTCAGTGGGGAGTGTGCAAAAGGCAGCTGATGGATATTACTCTCTCATCTGATGTTTCTAACTCTCTATCTCTCTCTCCCTTCCTCTCTGTAAAATATCAATAATTTATAAGAAATAAATAAAATAAAATAAAATAAAAATCCAGTGTGCGCACTGTGAACAGTAATAGCAGGGAAGATCTAGGATAGTGGGAGCAATCCTGAAAGTGCGATTGAACCACGTCAGGTCCTGCCACTGCCATGCTGTGTGACCTTGGGTAAGTGTCTTCTCTCTCTGGGCTGCAGTGTTTACCTCTGGGGAGCGCAGGGTTCAGCTAACTGCTTGAGAAGGCTGCTCAGCCCTGACAGCCCTGTCTCTCGTGTGCGTGGGTGGTCTAAGGAGGATGTCCTCCCAGAAAGGGGACTCGGAGCTTCTTCCTCCAGCCTGGCCCAGTTCCTCCACCCACCCCTCCCCCTGCAGCCTCGCCTGCACTGACCTGCACCTCCCGGGTCAGGGCCAGCTCCAACAGCTGGCCAAAATGCTGGCCCAGCATGCTCAGGGTCTCGCTCACGCAAGCCTTCATTGACTTCAGGACGTGCTCATTCTCAACCTGGAGGCACCTGGGGAAAATACAACATGGGTGGGCCATGGCCGCGGGCAGGCAGTCAACCCACAGTGTTGCAGGGGCCAGATGTGGGCCTGCTGCAGGCCTGCTGGGGCACCAGTGGCCTAGGGAGGGCACAGCAACTCCTGGGAGTCTAAGAGGGAACATTCCATAGACAACCCATCTCCTGGCGTCCTAGTGCTCAGATCAGATAAGTGCTGGCCTGCAATGGGAGATAATAGTTCACGGCACCAGGAAGAAAGGCCACCAGAAAGCCGCCAAATCCTACCTGGGAGAATCTGCCATCTCCATAGCCAGGGTCAGGGGTAGGAGGAATGGGAGCTTGGCTGGTGCTCACTGCAGGTGTGTGGCAATGCCCTTTAAGGACCTACTGCCTACAATGTGCAGAAAGGAGGCTGGAGGATTTTCACCCCAGACAGAAAAACCTTCTGGGGATCAGTTCACATGTATCCCTATGTCCTGAGAATGTTCCACACTGGGAGGCCCAGGGCCTCATGGGGGCCCGGGGTATCCCCAGTTCCTGGTTTTTCTTCCAAAGCATGGGGGCCGGAAGGGGTGAGGGAGAATGCCAACACATAACCGGGTGTGTATACATGTGAGGTTGAGTGTGTTTGTGTGTGTGTGTGTGTGTGTGTGTGTGTGTGTGAGGGGGTATGTCTGAGTATAAATGATGGAAGTGTATGTGTGTGAGATACAGAGAAGAGGGTGTGAGTGTATTTCTGAGATTGCAGGAGTGTGTGTTTATGTGTCTGCGTATGAGCAAGTGAGAGTGAAATCCGTGTCTATGGTGTCTGTGAATGTAAGGGTGTGAGTGTCTGCTTCACCATGCCTTGACCCCGAGGGTCAGGGGGCCTTCCCAAGCCCACATCTGGCTGTGGGAAACCTATTCCTTAAAACCAACCCGCAAGAATCCTTTCTTCCCATGCCCAGGCCTCTCCTCTGTGGTTTACATTCTACCCAGGCCTGAAAATGGGACAGAAAATCCCAAGGGAATCTTCCAGTGCTGCCAATAAAAATCAGCAAAAGAAAATTCCCAGACCATCACCAACCCCCGTCCCCTCCTCACCCTCCGGCGGACTCCCGCTCTCCCTCTGGGAGAAGATGCCAGCCCCTCCCACTCCCTGAGGACAGCGCACACCCTGTCCATGTTGACCCAGCACCCAGGTTTACCTCTCTGTGACTGCCGAGAGCTCCGAGCACTTCTCCATGAGCAGCTTCTCAACCTGTAGAGAAATAGATCAATGTTGTTCAATTCAATCAACATTGACTGAGGACCAACCGCTGCACTGGGCCCTGTGGGGCATAAAGGTGAAGAATGGAGCCATCCGATTTGGGAAACAGGCACATAAATTATAGTACAGTGTGATATGACAAAAGAGATCATCACCAGCTGTGTGGGGAGCGCTAAGAAAAGAATACTGAGCAACTAGTTATGCCAGGCAATCTGGGACACTTCAGAGAGGAAGCAGCATTTGAGCTGGGCTTCCAAGCATGAATAGGAGTTTACTGCCTGCAGAGTGAGGCCAGGAGAAGGTGTAGCACTAAGGCGGAAAGTAAATGCTAGTGGAAAGAGAAGCAATAGGGGTGAGGTTCCAATGGCTCCCCTTGATCTTGGAGAAGAAGAAGTCATGGGCATTGGAATTAGAAAGGCTTAGGTTGAATCCTGATTACACCATTTAGTACATCACTTTGGACAAATTAGTTATGTTCTCTGAGTTTCTGTTTTCTCATCTCTAAAGTGAGGACAACACTTCATGCCAGCTAATATTTTTAATAAACTGTTTTACATGTAAAATATTAATGTTTTACATGTAATAAATCAGTCCTCACAACAGTTCTAGGAGACAAGAACTGTTATTATACTCATTAGGATGACAGAACTAGGGCACAGAGACGTTAAGTAACTTGCCAACGTCACACAGCAGAGCTGACATTTGAAACCAGGCATTCTGGCGTTAAAGTGGTATACTTAATCATTGGGCAGCCTCTCATCATGGCTATATCAGCTTCAGAGGTTGTGCACGTAAAAGGAGATGTGTGTAAAAAGGCCTAGCACACTTCCTAGCACAGAGTTTACACTCCATAAATGTTCTTACCGTCTTCCCTGCTTTCCTGGAAAAGGAAGGAGGTTCCTGGGGCAGGGAGAGTTCAGATGCCGCAGAATTGAGACCCATTCTTCTAGAAAGCATGCCCTCCCACACCCAACGCAGAGCCACTGACCTGGCCCATCTCCTGCGAGGAGCTCCTGCTGACAGCACTGTACTCGCTGACCATGGAGCGGGCGTGGCAGGTCAGACGCACACTCATGCTGTGGACGCGCGCCCAGCGGTCCTGGGCCAGCTTCTGGCCGATCCTGCGCAGCTCGGTGCTGATGACCCAGCCCCGCTTGAGCAGCAGCTGCAGGGGGTCTCCAGGGCCCGGGCCACCCGCCAGGATGAGGTCACCTTGTGCATCCTCCTCCAGGCTGATGGGCTTCGCCTGCAGGACACACATGCACTCGCACTCGGTCATGAGCTTCAAGTCCTCCATCCAGCGCTGGACCGAGTCCACCTGCATCAGGTGCAGCCTGCAGCCGGGGAACAGCGCAGTGGCTATCAACCCTCCACAATTTCCAAACGTCTCCATTCCAAGACACCTGATGTTTACTGAACACCTATGAGCTCATCCCTGTGTCTTACATTCACCTACCTTAATTCTTTTATTCCTCACTAGAAGCCTGGTGCACAAAACCCATGCACTCAGGGGGAAGGGAGGATCCCTCAGCCCAGCCTATGCCCTCTCACAATCCAGGAGCTCTCAGGAAATGTCCGACTGCCGGCTTAGGCCTGCAATTGGACGTCCTCTGTGCTGCCACAGAGGCAGGAAGGGCTCCTGCCTCTACTGCTGCACTCGCCAGCCATGAGCCCAGCTTCTGGCTGAGCGGAGCTCGTCCTGCATTCAGCGCCTGTGGTCCGTGCATTATAGCAACCAGTCATTCTGCCGTTTGGTCAATTTGCACGTTAGCCTTTTGTTATATAGGATTATGTTCATTTAACAGGTAATAAGACAGGCACAGAAGTCTCAGGGGCAGATAACCAGACAAATAATAAGCGATAAGTTTGCACGTCTTCTTTGCAATGAGAGGAAACTGGAAATAGTATAATTATCCAATGTTGGTTAAGTAAGCTGTGGTACAACTACTTGGTTATATAGTATGCACTTATTTAAAAAATAATGCTTTCCGCCGAAACCGGTTTGGCTCAGTGGATAGAGCGTCGGTCTGCGGACTGGAAGGTCCCGGGTTTGATTCCTGTCAAGGGCATGTTCATTGGTTGTGGGCACATCCCCAGTGGTGGGTGCGCAAGAGGCAGCTGATCGATGATTCTCTCTCATCGATGTTTCTAACTCTCTATCCCTCTCCCCCTTCCTCTCTGTGAAAAATCAATAAAATATATATATATTTTTAAAAATAATGCTTTCCAAAAGTTTAGAACAAAGAAAAAAATGTGTGCACTAATAAAGTAGGGAAAGCGGTATGCAAGACTGTATACACATAATTGTTATAATTATGTTTTCTTAAAAACTATGTCTGGAAAAATATATATAAAGAAAAGATTAAAATGCTGATGGTTCTTTATGGGTGGTGGAACTAAGGCTTTTATTTTATTTTTTTCAACTTTTCCCTAATTTCTCAATTTTCTATCATCAGCATGTACGTTGTTTTGTTTTTTTAATGGAACAAAATTAACTCCAGTATAACAGCATGAGAATGTAGATTAGATACCAAGATCTTTATTGGATATAATTCACTCTGGAATTCACTAAGTCAAATACAATTCAGTAATAACATCATTAATGAAGCACTGAACATTTGTTGAGCGCCTCACACTTAATATCATATAAATGCCAGGCACTGTGGGAAAATGGAGATGAACATGCCAAGCCTCCTCTCTCCTGGGTCTTTTGATCTGCCTAGAGCATCGAGACAAAGTAGGAAGAAATTTCACAGTGACAGATTTCAACATCACCTGCAGATTGGGACAGAAGATGTGCACCGTACATCATTATAGCTGGGCTCAAGCCCTTTGTCTCTGGCTTGCAACAGTTATCCAACTAGTGTTTCTGTCCCTCATCTTGCCTGCCTCAAGCCATTCCCCACCTGCCTCCCACTTTCACTTATTTTAAAAAATATGTACTCGGTGCCTAATATGTGCCAAGTACCCTTCATAGCCCTGGGCTGTCACAATAAACACGTACATAAAATCACTTCCCTCAGGAAGCTTACATTCAAGTGAGGTGACAGTCAGCTTTCTAAGCAACTTCCAAAATAAATAAGCAATGCATGTAATATGTTGGAGGGGGTACATGCCGTGAAGGACAAGAGAACGGGGGGAGGAGGGTAGAGAGTGCTGGGAGTGGGGAAGGCAGTAGACACAGCAATTTAAAATAGATGTGTGAGCCGAAACCAGTTTGGTTCAGTGGATAGAGTGTCGGTCTGTGGACTGAAGGGTCCCAGGTTCGATTCCAATTAAGGGCATGTACTTTGGTTGTGGGCACATCTCTGGTGGCAGGTGTGCAGGAGGCAGCTGGTTGATGTTTCTCTCTCTTGGGTGTTTCTAACTCTCTATCCCTCTCCCTTCCTCTCTGTAAAAAAATCAATAAAAATATATTTAAAATATATAAAATAAAATAGGTGTGTGAGAGAAGACTCACTGAGATAGGGGCATTTGAGTCAAGACTGGAAGGATAGGAGGGAGTGAGCTACGTAAAAATCTGGGAGCAAACTGTTTTAGGGAGAGAGCACAGCAAGTGTAAAGGCTCTGGGGCACAAGTGTCCTTGAGATGGGTGAGGAATAACAAGGATGCCAGCCAGGAAGAGAGAGGGATGGAGGACATTAGGTGAGAGAGGTGAGGGTGGGGAGGGCGGGGAGGGAGGCAATTCTGTAAGGCTGTGTGGGACACGTTGAGGACAGGTGTTTTATTTTGAGTCAGGATGGGACCCAGAGGGCACTGAAGAGGCCAGCTAGGTGAGGCAAATGCACCCAGCAGAACTAAAATTATAAAGGCATGCTCCATTTATCACAGTTAACCCATACCTTTATATTTACTGTTATTTATAGAGAAAGAGCAGGACTTTCTGAATGGTGTACCTGACTATTGTTAAAAACAAAAACTCACCAATGACCTTTTTTCTTGCTCTCCCTTTATGAAAGTAGCTATTATATACAAATATATATGTATGTATAATGAAAGAGAGAGAACCACCTGAAATCACAGTGCCCTGCTGCCCACTCTATCTGTATGAACTCTCTCTCTCTCTCTCTCTCTCTCTCTCTCTATATATATATATATATATATATATATATATATATATATATATGCCTAATAGGCAAAGTGTCTCCTTGGGAGTTCAACTGGGAGACCAGCAGAAGTTCCATCGCTCGCTATGATATGCACTGACCACCAGGAGGAGACTCAAAACAAAGGAAGACCCTGGCCAGCAGCCACAGCTGGGGAAGGGAGGCCCCGACCAGCCAGAAGGTACCAATCAGCCCTAATCAGCAGCCAGGCCTAGGGGCCCTACCCATGCACAAATTTCATACACCAGGCCTCTCGTATATATATATATATATATATATATATATATATATATATATATATATATATATATATATTCCCTGTGTGCCCCCACCACCACCACTGCCCCCTGCATAACTCAAAATTCATGAGGCTCAGATCAGGGGTATCTAAGATATGACTCCAATCTCCCTTCCCACCACTCTCCCTTTTCCATCTTCCTCCACCTCTTAGCACCCTTACCAAAAACACATATTATAGGTGTACTGGTTAGTAATGTGGATATTTTTCAATAGATGAAGTTACACATATGTTGATATATATTCGATTTGATATGTATGCTATTTTTTTGTATTTACAACAAGCTTCAAAACTTCATATACCCAATTTGCTGAAGTTGTTAACTTCATAGATATTTTTACCTTTAAAAATGTTAGATTTTGTGCTAAAACAAAAAAGAGCATTTGTGGGAAGTTATAATTCATTATTTTGAATTAAAGTGCTGCTGAATACTTTGGGAAGCTTATGGTGAACTTGCTTCATCTCAAGATACTTGTGAATGCTGGTTTAAATGTTTTAAAAGTGATGATTTTGATGTGAAAGACAAAGAACATCAGGTCAACTGAAAAAGTTTGAAGACCAACAATTACAAGCATTTCTGGATGAAGATGCGTGTCAAACTCAAAAATAACTTGCAGAAATATTAAACATTGCTCAGCAAACAATTTCCAATTGTTTACAAGCAATGGGAAAGATTTTAAAGGAAGGAAAATGGGTGCCACTTCAACTGAACAAAAGACAAATAGAAAACCAAAAAGTCATCAGTAAAATGTTGCTTCAACGGCATGAAAAAAAAAAAGTCCTTTTTTACATTGAATTGTAACTGGCAATGAAAAGTGGATTTGTTTTGAGAATCCCAAATGCACAATATCATGGGTTGATCCAGGTCAACCATCAACATCAACTGCAGGGCCAAATCACTTCGGAAAGAAGACAATGCTCTGAGTATGGTGCTATGAGGAAAGTGTGGTGTATTATGAACTTCTAAAACCAGGTGAAACCATTAATACTGATCACTACCAACAACAAATAACCAATCTGAACCACACTTTGATCATGAAATGACCAAAATGTTCCAGAAGACATGGCAAAGTAATTTTGCTTCATGATGATACACCATCACACACTTCAAAACTAGTTAAAGACACGTTAAAATATCTTGCCTGGGAAGTAGTAACCCACACGCTATATTCACCAGACCTTGCTCCTTCAGATTACCACTTGTTCAGATTGATGGGACATGCACTTTCTGAGTAGCATTTTAAAACATACGGAGAAGTGGAAAATTGGGTCTTTGAATGGTTTGCCTCAAAACAAGAAAAGTTCTATTGGGACGGTATCCACAAATTACCTGAAAGATAGAGAAATGTGTAGCTAGCAGTGGACATTACTTTGAATAAAGCACTTTTGATGTTTCTCTTGAAATTATCATGGTTTTTTTTTATTATTATTATTATTATTATTATTATTATTATTATTACAAAACCCACTATGATTAACTGGCACACCTAGTACTCTCTGCACAATCAATTTTCCTATTTCCCAACCACACCACTCTCTTCTACAAAGCTCTGTGGCCTTGCACAGTTCTCTCCAACAGACCCTCCTTTCCTTCCTCTCTATCTAGCAAGCTCCTACTCACCCTTCAAAACCCAGCTCTCATGTTATTTTCTTTGAAAAGCCTCAGCCAGAGCTCCCCAGCTGTTTCCCAGGGCCTCATACCCCTTCATACATCCTCCACTGGAGCACTAACAACTTTCTATTGTAATTGGTGAGTTTTTCTGAAACTCGACAAAGTCCTGTGAGGGACAATCCCTCGTATCTGGTTTATTGCCAGTGCCCGGTATATACCAGCTACTAGGTAAATATGCTCTAGCGAACAAGTGGCCGAGTGCAGGCATGCAATGCTTTCCCCTGCAGAGGACTCCCTGTGCTTCCACCACTCAGGCT